ATGATCACCTTGCTTGTCTTAGTTCCCATCTACATGACCAATGTACCCTTCGGCCGATCCAGCTAGCAACTTTGGTCTACTATCTGTAATAATTATTCATTACGAAAACAGTGCGAAGATTCAATCAGAAAAAAACAAATAATCTGTAGATCATATAATTTGTGCAGTTAAAACTTAAAACTATAAAATGAGAGCATGTTTTGGATTGTTGATCAAAGAAAGATGCAAAGATGGAATCTTGAATGGGAATAAAGCAGGAGATTCCCCTACATCATATGACTTGGTCTTAGAATAAAAGTAGTAGAAGAAACTAACAATTTCTTTATTTTAGAGAGAGAATCAAATCCAAAGGAAAAGAAGGAACCTTCTTCTGTGCAAAAGCAATATACAGAAACTAAAAGGTAAAGTACCCATTATACAAAACCGAATATCCAGAGTAATCTCCAAGAAAGGAATTCAATTATGCTTTCGATCGAGGTTCAATTTCGTGACATTGGATTCAAAGATGACTATGTTATTGCAAATATAACATGAATTTATGCTAAAATAAAGGATAAAGAAACATACGTCGAGACAAAGGAGTAGAGATCTGGTAAATGTTGCTGTTCTCGGAGTCCAGAACGAAAACCTCGCCGGCGGCGGAGATCTCCACCGCGTGCGGCTCGATTCCGAGCTTACTTCCGTCGAACACCGTTTCCACTGTGTACCCACCTTCGAATTTCATCATCGAACGGCTCGGAATTGCTGACATTTTTAACCAACCAACCAACCAACCATTTTTACTTGCATTATTTAAAAAAAGAACAAAAAGATTAATTCTTGAAATGTGGGAATTTTTTTTTTTACCAGTTTTGGTAGCTGATTTGAGTGACCACAGCCGCTTGAAAATGGTGGAGACTACCTTTGTCACCACCCCACTAACAATTCCTGCAATTAAAAAAACAACATTTATATCAAGAAATTAAATCGACATTTAAAAACATAAAAATTGTATAGATTTACTCACTGGCAGCAGGTGATGCAGAAACTGATGAACACCCAGCAAGAAACACAACAAGAATCACAAGAAGAATCACCCAATTCCTCCCCATTTTTTATTTTTCAGTAACCAAAATAACAGAGAATTTTGAAGAAACTAATAAGTGTAGAGACTAGTGATCAGCTCAACATTCTTGATTCTTCCCCTTTATTATATACTAATTAGCATTGTACTTTTTTTCCATGGGTAATAAATGATATAGAGAGCAGCATGAGGTGACAGAAGAATGAATACACACAGAGAGAGAAAGTGAAGAGAGAGAAAGAAGAGAGAGAGAGAGAGAGAGAGAGTGGGTGTGAATTGTGAAAGTGGTTTAGCAACAAAAACTGAAGGGAGCTCTGTTCAATGTAACAAAGCAAAGGAGGGGGCTGCCTTTAATTTCAGTATTAAACAATTAAGTACATTTTTAAAGCAGAGAGAGGTATATATATATATATATATTAATAATAATAATATATATGCTGTTTTTTTGTCTTAACAGTAGCAAGCAACTCTGTCTGAGACTCCTCTGGTCTTTGTGAAAATTTGATTGTTGAAAGCAGATTTCATTCTAATGGATGGATTTTAAATATTTAGATTTTTATGGTATAATCTTAATTTTTTATTTTTTATAATAAATGTAGTTTCCAAATCTAATCCAGAATTGCACCACGTGTCGGTCACATCTTGTGCTGGGCACGTGATGTTTAATGTGCTAATTTCTTAAATTTCATTAACGGTAATATTTTATTAGCTACGGATAACCCAACCCAGTAACTTTTAACTATTGGGCCCAAACAAATTTATTGGGCCGGTCCGGCTTAAATTTGGACCGATCAATTTTAATTGGACCTTGGTATAATTTTAACATTTTATTTTTCTACATCATCTTTATTTTTTGACTAATTACGAAAAAAGAAATCCAAGAAGCAAATTTTTGTCAACCTCACTGCAATTAACCTCGTATAAAACATGTAATAACATTTCATTTACATCGAGTATTCCACGTGGCACATCAACCAAAACCCAACAAGATTCACACATGGTAAACCATCCCCACCTCCAACGTCGAGGCGCGCGGGAAACTCGAAGCGTAAGTCGGCGCCCTCGAATTTCTCCGCAAGAAATCGTACCCCACGTTGATCACGACTCTCTTCACCAAACCCGAACCCGCTTTCGCCTTCACGTAACAATGCCCTAATATGAACGCCATCCCCGTTTCCCTCGCCTCCATCAGCTCGTCCAACTCCGCGCGCGCCTCCCTATCCATCCTCGGACTCTCCGGCAAAACAAATCTCACTCTCTTCTTCCTCGGCATTTCCCTCACCTCCTCCACCGCCACATCATCACCACCCTCGTCCGCCCACATCTTCCTCGAGCTCGTCCCAATAACCGCCATCCTATCCTCGTCGTCATCGCAAGGCGGGCCCCCACTTTGATCGTTCCGTTCGGACCTAATAAACTCCGCTATACTACAAACGAGATCCTTCTCGAACGCCACGTCATCAATCATAGTGTCTCGGTATCCGTAACGGGCTATACAACGGTAAACCCGGTACTCCTTCGGCCCGATTCTCCCCACAAGGAACCTCTCCTCGGGCCCCACGTGTGGGACCGGCACGTACTTGATGCAGAACAAAACCAGCACCTGATGAAAGGCGGGAAGATTAGTGACGAAGTGAGAGAAAATGGCGGGAATTCCGGAGACTAGCTCGGTGTGTATGAGGCCTATGCCTCGGACACGTACTATGCCTAGGTTCGGACCCAAACCTAGGAGCCAGTTGATGGAGACTTTGTTCTGTACGTCGAATTCGTACTTTTTGAGCGTGCCGTAGTGCCAGGTGTACATTATGGCGAGGAAGATGAGAGAGAGGGCGATCGGGACCCACGCGCCCTCGCGGAATTTGATTAGGGAAGCTGAGAAGTAGAGGGCTTCGACGGAGCCGAAGAAGAATATGAAGCAAATTGCTAATAGGACGCTCTTGTTCCAGCATAGGACGATTACGAGTGACGTAAGGCATGTTGTTACCAACATAACTGTTATAACCGCTAGACCTGAGAAAAAAACGAAAGGTATTGCATGAGAGTGAGAGAGAGGAAAAAAAAACCGAAATGTTGCTAAAAAAAAACACCTGCCCCCCTATAATGCACTTTTTTCTTAGCACAAAACCCCTTAAAGGTGAGGTTTTAGGGAGTAGTTTGCAAAAAAAAACTTTATAGGTTTTTTTTGCTAATATTAATAATACAAGGACTTATTTAACAATTAGAGTAAACACAAGGATGTTGAATGCAATAAACCCTAAATTACTTAAACTACTATATATAAGTTATACAAAGTTGGGTGTACATGATGTTACCTGAGGCATTGCTAATGTGTTTAGTGTCACGAAAGCCGAGGGTGACGGCCAAACAGAGCACCATTAAAGTCCAGTTGATTTCTGGGATATAAATCTGGCCGCATATTTTTGACGACGTGTGTATTATATTAACCCTCGGAAAACAACCCAATGCACAGCATTGTTTAATTATCGAAAATGTTCCGGTAATTATGGCTTGGCTTCCGACCACTGCAGCAAGAATCGCTATTGCCAGAACAGGCCACCGTATCTTTTCTGCAACAATAATAAAACGACTATACATGAATTGCTATTTTTTTTTCCGCAAAATTCCGAAATTTATATATTTTTACCAGGTACGGATACGTAGAATCCAATCTGATAATCACTCTCGATTACGTGATGTTTGGAAAGATAAGCCGCTTGTCCCATATAAGCAAGGATTAAAGATGGATATACCACAAAGCTAAACGCAATCTGCAACGGAAAAAAAATATAACAAAAACCCGCGTAAATATGTAAATTAACTTGAAAATGTATATACATAAACGAAATTTCGATTACCTTGATCGACAACTGCGAAAAGTGTCCAAGATCAGCAAACATAGCCTCCGAACCTGGATTTTTTATATTATGTAAATTTAATATAAAAAATGTTAACCGATTTTGAGTACAACAAGAATTACAATAAGCTGTTAATTTTTTATACCTGTTATACACAATAAAATCCCACCCAACGACATCCATCCATCTCGTCGGGTTTTTTTCAAGAATTTATACATGTAATAAGGTGAGAGTGCTTTGTAAACATGAGGGTTCCAATGGAAGATATTATACACTCCGATTGAACTGATGCAGAAAAGCCAAGTTATCACTATCGGTGCAAATAAAAATCCTAGTCGGTGGGTCCCGTAATGCTGAAGGTAGAATAAGAACACCAGTATTATGCATGCAACCGGGACTTCTATATCTGCATGCAAGAAAATATATATACATAAGGATTTAATATTCTTTATATATTTCACACATCGAAATAGGTTTGGCAAATAGTTATGCTAAAAAATGACAACAGCAAAAACAACAATGACATCATACGAAGCCTCGAACTTGATTTTCCGTTTGAATTTTTTTTTTTTGGGGGTTTCATTTTAAAATAGATCCTTACTCGATAAATGTTACTAGTCCCACTAACGACTAAACAATCACTTCTTCTACAGAAGATCGTTCAGCTTTAAATCTTCTTTTCATTGTTTAATTATTACTGATTTACTTTACAGAAGTACAACGTTATCAACAAAAAAATCTGATAAGCACTCGAAAATTATTTAACATCAAGTTGCGTTTCCACTTATGATGGTGCCATTATATATCTACCACAATCGGGAAAGATGGTGACCTAACTTTACTTTATATAGATAATATTTAATTTCATAATTAAATCAGAAAGTTTGTCATAACATAAGAAAGGCCCCACAATAATGCATTTTTTTTAATTGAAATTTGGTGTGTCCTCTTTGTCTTTGAACTACACACGTCCATGGTTATCGAATCGGAAAATATCCGTGTATCGTTTTCCTCCGTGTATCGTATCGTATCGTTATCGTATCGTATCGTACGATATTTAACCAACTATTAAAAATAATAAAATATATATCTACATAATAAAAATACTATAAAAATGTAAAATTTAATATTTTAAAGTCAAACCACTCATTCTTCATTTCTTAAAAAAATTAATCTATCATAAAATAGGACATAAGTCATAACTGCTCATAAAAATAACATCAACAAAGTTCAAATTTTGAACTCTAATTTGTAAATAAACTAATATATCACTCATAATCTTCAAGATCAATGTAACTTAAATTTTTTTCATCCACCAATTTCGAATGAGTGTCTTCATCCTCATGTTCATCAATCTATTCAACTTCATCAACTCCAACTTTGGCCGTTTTCCTATTTTCTCTTTATCAATATAAAACTTGGCGTATAAATTTCTTGGATCTAATATGTGTAAAAAAAAACATTAAATAATATTGAAATTCGTTTTCAGGCCCTGGAAATGTGAATATTTCATTTTCTTCTTCTTCTTTTTGTTTTTTTTTTAATTTTCGATTTTTTTTTAATTTTTTTTTAATTTTGACTAATATCGTAAATATCGTATCGTACCGTGATATGACGATACGATACGATATCTCGCGATATTTAACGGTATTTATGCATAGCCGATACATATTATGAGTTGTATCGTTTTGATTGGGACCGTACCGTCTCGCGATATATATCGCGGTATCTCGCGAGTTTAACTACTATGCACACGTCTACTAAAATCATAAAATTAAATAGAATATTTCGATCGAATGCCGGAACATCTTTTACTCTGAACTAAAATCCATAACCTTTGTGTCGAGTTTTGATCATAATTTTCTCCTCTTTTTTTCTATGGGGTCGAATGCCGGAACATCTTAGTTCTTAACTAAAAGACACAACCTTTTCGTACAATTTTGATCATAATTTTCTCCCATTTCATTTTTCTATTGCACTTATCAATCACTCGAAGATGACCAAATTGAGAGCAAAAGACAACCAATTTAGACAAAAACGAAGCTTTTCAAGAAACTGGCATTCTAATAATTTTCTAATGCATCTATACGAGAAATTACTATTATAACCAAATCGAAGATTCTTGAACAAAATCTAAGTAAGCGAAAAAGACTCACATTGATGATGATGCTTTGACACAACAAGCTCCAATCCAGAAACTGCAGAAAACACTGCAGCACACAAGCAAAATAAATCACACCCCATTTCAAATTTACATCAAAAAATCACAACTAATACAAAAAAGATTCGATTTTTACCCGAAATTGCGGGCGTAAGAACTCCATCTCCAATCACCATACAAGTCCCAATCAAGGCCAAAATAAGCAGCATTTTCTGCAGCAATTTGTGCTTCTCAAGTGTAGATCTCAATTTCATACCAAGACCCTTATTATTACAAGAACTAATCCCATCCTTCTTGTACTCATACAAATCCTCGTCGGCAAGTTGACCGTTCGGCAAAGTGCCGATACGAGCGTGGCGGCAGAGGAGGGTGTAGAGAGCGAAAGTACCGCCCTCGCCATTATCGCCTGCTCTAAGCACTATGAACACATACTTAAGGAGTGGTATTAAAGTTAATGTCCAGAAAACAAAAGAAAGAACTCCATAAATCTCCTCATTAGTTTCAGAGTGCTGAATATCCTCTGCAAAAGTGCTCTTGTACACATACAGAGGCGAAGTGCTTAAATCACCATACACAACACCCAAACTCTGGTAAGCCAATGTCAATACAGTCTTCCATGATTCTTTCTGCAAAACCCACAATTAATAATCCCCCAAAAATTCAAATCATCAACAAATTAAAAAAAAAAAAAAAAAAAATTCAAGAACACATTTGTTTTTTGCAAAGGTCTCACCTTTATAGAACGTTCAGGGCTCCAGGCTTCAATATCCATCACCGGCCGCCTCAAAACCATGGAAAAAACATTTCTTGGAGTAAATTGCAGAAACCCTTTTGAGCAAACACTAAAAAAATCTACAGAAGAGAAAGAAAAAATCAAGAAAATGGTGTTGGGAGGATGGAACAAGTGAAGAAAAGGGTGGTGGGGAATTGTGCTATAGAATATATTGCTTAGCAAAAATTGTGTTGATATATGTAATGTACGTGGACTCTATGAAAAGAGGTGTATACACACTAAAATAAGCAGAATATTGAGTGATTGGATCAATAATAAATTTTACTTGATATACAGATGACAAAGAAAAGCAGTCAAAAAAGAAATGTGTGTAAAGAAATGGGGGTAAGGTTTTGTGTTCTCCAGAAATCAGCTTCACTTCATAATTATTTGTATTTATCTTTGTGTATTAAAGAATATCCTGAGTGGGTGGGGGTGGTGTGCTTCTTTCTGTAGTATATATCTCTTGTGTTGAGTGTGTTTGTGGGGTTGAGGTGGTCATGGGTGGGGGTGGGGGGTGGGGGGGTGGGGGTGGTGTTGAACTTTGAATATTTTTACATGTAACAGTGGCAATGAAAGTAAAGTGACATGAAACTGAAAAAATGCATTCTTGAAGCAGAGTGGGGTTGACTTATTAGGGGACTGCATTTATTTCTATTTTTTTATTTTTATTTATGAGGGAGATGAGGAGTTTTGATCAAAATGTCATGGAGTTTCATAAGCTCCAAATATTTGTAAAAAATTTATTACATTAAGTTACCCAAATTCCTTCTAAAATTCGATTCGGATAGAAATTTTGGCAAGCTTAATTTGATATATATATGTGATACGGGTTTGATTGAATCCGAAGCCCAAATAATAAGGATCTTACAACAAAGTCCAAAGACAGTTTATGCATACTCTAAACTTGCTCATTAATATTCATAAGTTGGTCACTAGTTCATATGCGCACTTATTTTCACTATACATATATATCATTTTTCTCAATGATTCCGACTGACTTGACCGTAAGAAATTCTTTCACTTACGCTTGTTTTTCCAAGTTTCTTGGAACGCATAGGTTTCCTCTCGTTTGGATTTTCTCTATTCTGGTCTCATTTTACTCCTATTCCATTTTATTATTTCGTGATTGAGCCATTTAGAATACGATATATGATATGTAGAGGTCAAATTTTCAAGAAAGCAAAAAACACATGCTTGTTTAATTTGAATAAAATTCCACGTTGAACGTTGATTAATTTGATTGATATATAGAAAGAAGCACTTCACCTTTTCTAGTATTGTTCTTATCTCTCCAAGGACAAAAAATGGAAAAAAGATAAGAAACACAAATAAATTAGGACTTTGCTAGAATGAGAACAATAATGAAAAGTATGTCATTATTCATTCATTAAAAGAGAGATCCTATATTCTATATATAGATGCCTTTTTTTCAATTTCATATTGTTGTCTTTTAAATGACACCTTTTTTTTACGTAAAATTTTAGTTAATTTAATGTATTAGTTGAATTATAAAATATATTTACTTAAAACTTTATACCTTTTCTTACTTAAGGTATGATTCTTAATGCCTTGTTTGGTAATCACATGAAAAGTTTAAGTGAGCCAACTTATCCTTTCAAGTCATCACACCTGAAAATTGAAGTGTACCAAACAACCTAAAAATCTCTTAAAAAGTGGTTGAGATTTTTTATTTTATTTTTTATTTTTAATTATTTATTATTAAAAAGTGTGGAGAGTTTGTTGAGAAGAATTTAGGTTATTGCAATGAATTTTGTTCAAACAAAAGGACAAAACATGGGCCATGGAATACAATCAGACATCCAATATTAATTTATGATGATAATTATACCACCTTAATATATAGGGATCTTTTTGTCTTGTCTTTTTCTATATTTATTTATTTAATTTAATATTTTTTGCCTATCTGATTTTTTCTGATAATTATGAAAAAATGTCCCACTACTGGAAATTTCTAAAATAAAAAAATGAAATGTAAACCATAATATAATTTGTTAGCCAATGAATGGACGTGTTTGCTTCCGTGAGTGGAATTCCACTTTCCACTAATGTGGTTCATATTCATTTGCTTGTCTCTATTTTTATTTCGAGTTGGTGTAAATCAAATTCCAATTTCTTTAATTGGATATCCAATTTAGACCATTATAACGTGTGGCACGTTATATTGAGCATCAATTAAATTTAATAATCATAATTACTTATACCTGAAAATTTTATTTAGCCAACCTTCGATTAATTGCACACAAAAGAAAATTTAACAAAGGATATAATATAAGGTAAATTCATATATAATTTATTTTTGCATTTCTTATATATGAAATCGGATCATTTCATTACATAATTATTTTTAATAAAAATTAAAAGTCCGTCACAACTCACAATAATTGGAGTCAAATGAAACCAACGCAGAAAATAAATATCAAGCAATCATTGGGCACAAGCACACCGAGCGTAGCTGAACGAGTGGCGCTGATTTCCCATTTCGTACACGCAAAGATGACGCAAACGAGATGCTCCACTCGATGAAATATACAAATAACAATCCATACGCACTGAACGCACATACACATGAGTGAATGTTATTATGTATAGATCTATGATTTAAAATCACCCGATCTATTTTATCGGGCGCTACATCTACAAAACCAACTCTGTATATAGAAAAGAAAAGATAGGGTAAAATAATAAATAATAAATAAACAAAGAGTCTCCATTTTTACCTAATCTTTGCAATTATATTGACTTATATATTATATAATCCCATATATAATTTTAATGAATCTGCAGCAGATCCAAAATCTATCGAGGATGTCCATAATATCCGGCTTTTATTCTTTTTACATATGAACAATTTAATGTTTAGGGCTACAAAATAAATCAAGTTGTTTAATCTATATTTTAATTTTAATTAGCATATAATTTTATTTTATTTTTTATTTTTTTGATAAAATTTCAAATCTGCACACAATCATTAACATCAAAATAATAACTAAATACATCTTCTGATTAGAGTCGGTCTGAGGTCCATAAAATTAAGGCATTTTTATATTCTTTAATATCAACATTTAAATAAATATATAGTTTATTTAAGTTTTTTTTTTTTTTTTTTCGTGAAGGATCTTCAATTCTTGACCTTTGGCCGGCCCCTTGTGATTTGATTAATTAATTAAATACGAGTTCACATAACAATCCAATAAAAAAAATGAATACATCTTAAATTATTAAACAAATAATATTGACATATATATTTGTATGTATTATTCGACTCAACTAGGCTCGAGGCACGATGTAAAAATAACTGTCATTTATCAGAAATAATTTGATTCTCTGCAAACAATTATATAGATGAGTATAAACCTGGGATCTGACAGAATAACACTATGATATTGTGTACATGTGAGCACGTGCGGTGCAAATTAATTCTTTCACATTTTAATCTCGTACCACTGCTAATTAGTTAAGTTCAAATCTCATCTTACCATATCATTAATTACAATTTTTTTTTTTTTTTTTAATTAATAAATTACCCCATGAGATGGGCCTTTGGCCCACATTAATAATAGCTAATTGGAATTTTGATTTGGTCCATGTCTAACAAGCTTGGGCATAGAAGTTGACTGGTCCCCTTCACACGTGACAAATATTTTGCTTTCCATACCACTTTTCCTTTTTAATCTTTATCTCCCCCACCTTCTACATAGAAGTCAATAGTTATATAGGATAAATTACGATTACCTCTGAGGTAAGGTTAAATTACAAAAATACCCCTCATGTTTGGGTAATTACGGTCGTCCGTCAACTATGAATTTTCTTACACGTCCACCCTTATGGTGTCAAATTCAACAGAATCTTCTAGATTCCGTAAAATGTTATCTAGTTTGTACTCGTTTTGTTCAAAAACGCAGTGTCAAAATATAGAGCTCCAATAGGATAAAACGGGTACAAACTGGAGAATATTCCACGTAATCTAGATGAAAATTGGAACATTACGTTTGAGTTTAAGTATATTTTTAAACGGGCCAAATTTGGACTTTTTTTTATAATATAAATTATATTTTTTTATGAGCCGAGTTCGAGTAAAATACGAAAATCTAATATAGAACGATGTTTCGGAACATTTCAAAAATATCTTCATTTGGGCTGCAAAACAGTTCATCTCATACAAATATGGGCTAACATTTCGAAAAAATCTTCAATTGGGCCCAAAATATTTTATTGCATACAAAATATGGGCCACACTCTATTTTGCTGACAATTATTCTTTTTTTTTTTTTTTTTTTTTTTTTTGCCTTCATGGAATGAATATAAGTTGTCTGAAATTTCCCGACATTCTCGTGTTTCCTCGTACTACAACCTCAAAAACTCCAACGGTCAATAACGATCTTCAACACCAAACAACTCAACCTTTCTTCTCTCTCTCTCTCTCTCTCTCTCTCTCACCACTACCCGCTTTCTTCACCTGCAAATTTTCATACCCCCAAACAAAGAAACAAACAAACAATCATCCCCTCCAAAAAAAAAAATCAATCTTTATCCAATTGATTATTTCATTTCTTCAATCTCAAAGATTTCAATCCGACACGAACCCTAAAAAAAAATAAAAAACAAGAACAAGATTCAAAAAGCGGAGAATCCGAGAAAAAATCGGGGCTCCGCCATGGAAGATGAATAGAATATTCTCGAGGCCGGCATCCCACCTCCGCCACTTCCGGCGAACCCTAACCCACCACCACCACGACCCCACCTCCTCCGCCTCCGCCGCCGCATCCGCATCATCAGACGAGCCGAATTCCCTAAGCATACTATGGCACTACCAAATCCTCGACCCGAACAGCGACATCGTGAACCATTGGAACCACGTGTTCCTAATCGCGTGCTTGATATCGCTATTCATCGACCCGCTCTACTTCTACCTCCCTTACGTCGTCGACGGACAAGCATGCATGTCGACCGACACCCATGCATCCGTCCTCATTACGTATTCTCGTACAATTACCGATGTTTTCTACCTTCTACATATGTTGATGAAGTTTCGCATGGCGTTTGTCGCTCCTAGTTCTAGGGTTTTCGGTCGCGGTGAACTCGTTATGGACCCTCACGAAATTACCATGCGATACCTTAAATCCGATTTCATTATCGATCTTACCGCCACCCTTCCCTTGCCTCAGGTTAATTTTTTCGATTTTTTTTTTATAAAAAGAATCTGATCCTAGATTCCTAGGCAATGTTTGGAATTGTTTTCGGAGAGTTATTTTCGTTTAATTTTGGGGAAATATGTTTTGAGGGAATAGTTTAAAAGTGAAAGTAATGCTTGTTTATAATTTGAGATGGCACAAAATGCACTGCAACAATCAAATTATGTTTAAATGTGTTAGAACTTTTTTTTTACACTGTAGGAGTCAAATTTTTTTTTAACGGTAGCAGCCAAATCATGTATGGAGAAGGGAGAAAGTTTTAAAATTATTTTGGAATTTGTTTTTTTTTTAAGTTAAATAAACACGATTTCGTTTGGGAGGAAAAAAAAAATGAGATGAAAATGCACCCAAACATGAGTCTTGTGATGAATTGTTCAAGTTGAGCTGGAAATAAATTGAACAATTATTAATGGATCACTTTGAATGCAGAGGAAAGTAGAGAGAGAAAACAAGAATCTTTAGTTGCAATAATCTTGAGTTGAAATGATTGTTTGCAGATTGTGATTTGGTATGTAATTCCGGCGACGAAAACGAAAGGATCCGGTCATTCGAACAACACTCTGGCTCTTATTGTCCTAATCCAATACATCCCACGATTGTTCGTTATTTTCCCGTTAAATAACCGGATAATAAAAACCACCGGTTTTATAGCCAAGACAGCTTGGGCTGGAGCTGCGTATAATCTACTTCTCTTCATGCTCGCCAGCCACGTGAGTCGTACTTCATCTCTCGATTTTGTTACATTCATCGATTTTTGTCACCTCTTCGAAAAAAGAAAAAAAAAACGAATCTTTATTTATAATATTATATATGTATAGGTATTAGGAGCTTCGTGGTATCTGGCATCTATAGGAAGACAACATTCGTGCTGGCAAGAAAGGTGCAATGACGAATACGACAAAATCCCACCATGTAGATTTGAGTTTCTCGACTGTACGAATGCGGAAGCTTCGAGTCTTGAGCGGCAGTACTGGCTGAATATGACTAGTGTGCTCTCCCGATGCGACGCGAAAAACGATGATTCCGATTTCAAGTTTGGAATGTTTGCCGATGCTTTCACGAGCGAAGTTGCTTCCGCCAGTTTCCTCGAGAAGTATCTCTACTGCCTTTGGTGGGGCTTGAGAAATCTGAGGTGTGATCATTTATAGTTCTTTCAAAGGGTTTATTCCATTCGGCACCCTCTGTTTTTTCTAATTGTTAAAAAACTCCCCGTTATATATTTTATTGGCAAAGAACCCCCTATGATTCAATTTTTGTAGCAATTTACCCCTTGAAAATTCTCTATTCTAAGGGGTTATTTGCCGATAAAATAACATGGAGAGTTTTTAAGCAATTTAATACAACACATGGGGTGCTAAATGCAATAAACTCGTTCGTTTAACTAATCTGTTATTTTGTATCTATTTACTTATATAATAACCATGCTTGCAGTTCATATGGACAGAATTTGGAAACAAGCACTTATATTGGTGAGACATCTTTCTGCATTGTTCTCTGTATTTTCGGTCTGATTCTATTCGCGCAGCTCATCGGCAATATGCAGGTAATTAATAATATCTTCACCATTACTAGTTATATATATATGTATGTATGTATGTATGTATGTACGTACGTATGCGTGTGTGTGTGTGTGTTCGATTATAAATTATTTTTGTTTTATTTTTTTGTTGAGGGAAGACTTACTTGCAATCGATGACGGTGAGACTGGAGGAGTGGAGGATAAGGAGAAGAGACACGGAGGAATGGATGAGGCATAGGCAGTTGCCTCCCGATTTGCAAGAACGTGTTCGTCGTTTCGAACAGTATAAATGGTTGACCACTCGTGGGGTCAACGAAGAATCTATTCTGTGGTCCCTACCTCAGGATCTCCGTCGCGAAATTCAGAGACATCTTTGTCTTAAACTCGTCCGCCGTGTACGTCATTTTATTTTATTTTTTTGGGGAATTTTGTTTCGTTTCTTGTTGACTCTGTTTGGATCGAGAGAAAATGCTGGATGGAGTAGATTTCGTGTTTTGCAGGTGCCGTTTTTCGCGCAGATGGACGACCAACTCCTGGACGCAATATGCGAGCGTCTCGTTTCGTCATTAAGTACACCTGGCAGCTACATTGTGAGAGAGGGCGATCCGGTAAACGAGATGATCTTCATAATCCGAGGCCAAATGGAGAGCTCCACCACAAACGGCGGCCGCTCCGGTTTCTTCAACTCCATAACACTAAGACCCGGCGATTTCTGCGGTGAGGAATTACTCACGTGGGCACTAGTCCCCAACTCGTCGCTAAACCTCCCCTCCTCGACTCGAACGGTCAAAACATTGACCGAAGTCGAAGCGTTCGCACTCCGAGCAGAGGACCTTAAATTCGTCGCCATGCAATTCAAACGCCTCCACAGCATGAAACTGCAGCACGCGTTTCGGTACTACTCGCATCAATGGCGAACTTGGGGCGCTTGCTTTTTGCAGGCGGCGTGGAGAAGGTACAAGAAGAAGAAGCTTGCCAAGGAATTGGCCTTGCGCGAGAATTTGTACTTTTACGAAGGCGAAGAAGAAGAAGATGGCGGCAACGGTGATTCGGACGGTGATAATGCTGACAGCCATGCGCAGCATCTCGGAGCGACGATCTTAGCATCGAAATTTGCTGCGAATACGAGAAGAGGAGCTGTGCAGAAGATTCCGATCCCCGATACTTCTTCTTCGAGTTTGAAGATGCCGAAATTCTTTAAACCCGACGAACCTGATTTCTCTGAAGAAGTTTAACTCTAGGTATGTTTCTTAATGTAATTTCGAACAGGTTTTTAGCGTAGATGCAACGATTTAATTTTATTGTGTAGTATTTCGACGTGTATTCGATTCATTTTTTTTTAAATCGTGCTTTTATAGAGAGGGGGTATCACCCTTTTATCAGTAATGTGCAGTACAGTGTCGATTTCTCTGAAGAAGTTTAACTCTAGGTATGTTTCTTAATGTAATTTCGAACAGGTTTTTAGCGTAGATGCAACGATTTAATTTTATTGTGTAGTATTTCGACGTGTATTCGATTCATTTTTTTTTAAATCGTGCTTTTATAGAGAGGGGGTATCACCCTTTTATCAGTAATGTGCAGTACAGTGTCAATAGTACATTAGATGTATACATTATTTTAGCGCATTTTCCGATTTAAATTTTCTCGATACGCCGTGCCAATTATATATATACATACATGTATATATGAGAGCAAAATTCAATTAACTAGGGAACTTTGGACCAATCTGGTGTAGAAGGTTCAATCCTTTTCGATATTCCGAGAGCATCTTCTAATTTCGTTACAACTTCATTAATCGACGGTCTCTTTAGTTTATCTCCCGTGCACGATATAGCTAGCTCGAATACTAGACGAAAGGCTTCCATTGAATACTCTCCGTGAAGATTCGGATCAGCAAATTCTACAATTTTTCGATTCTTCGTAACAGATTTCGCCTGTTGACAAAAAAAAAAAAAAAAGATAGAGAAATTTGTTGGACTTGGAATTTGTACTTATTACTAGACGATGAAAAACGAGACGTGTGAAATTTATTTACGATTTTGTCCAAGGTCTTGGGTTTCTTCATGTTCATATCGATAACTTTCCTCCCCGAGAGAATCTGAAGAAGTACGATTCCGTAGCTGTAGATATCACTTTTTGCACTTGCGTGGGGACTGCTTCGGTGGTACTCAGGGTCAATGTAACCGAATGTACCTCGTACTTCGGAACTGACACTTGTTTCTCCAAGATTCATTAACTTGGATAATCCGAAATCGGAAAGCTTGGCCTCGAAATTTGTTCCGATGAGTATGTTTGTCGGCTGTGTGGGAAGTAACAATTTTTGTTTCATTTAATTTGATGAAAAAAAAATTGAAACTTACTTATTTCACACACACACATACACACATTATAGTGTACCTTGATATCCCGATGAACGATGCATCCTCGAGGAAATGTGTGGAGAAACCTTAGTCCCTTTGCACTGCCAATAGCAATCTCGAGTCTTCGAATCCATGACAGAATTTTATCATCTTTTCCTGTTTTTTTTTTTTTTTGTGTAATATTAGACATTTTATCGTAAAGATGGGAAAAATCGAGCGTCGAGGAGAATACATACCGTAAAGCCACTCGGACAAGTTCCCGTTCGGACAAAGTTCATAAATCAAGAAACATTCGCTTTCATTTTCACAGTACCCCATTAAAGTCACTAGATTTGAGTGTCTCACATGAACCAGGCTTCCGATTTCTCTCATAAACGTATCGGCATTTGCATCGTTTGTTACTTTCTTGATCGCAACACACTGATTATTAGACAACACTCCTTTGTACACCTTTCCTAGTACCAACAAAGTGTGCTCTAGAGTAAGAAAAATTTCCGCGATAAATTTTAAGCTACATATATATAGATATAGTCAGACCTGATGTCCCTTCACCAATGAAGTTCGATTCGAGTAGATTATTTGTGGCAGAAAGAATCTCTTCAATCGGTATTTTCATTAATGCGGAATCCTTCGATAGTACGGATAACGCAGGTTTCCAATCTGGATAAAAAAATAATTAACTATAAGTTTCTTGATAATAGGATATCCATAAAAGCATATATGTATATACCATCTTTATCGACCGGTGCTACCGGCGTCTCTCTTCTTCTGCGCGACAAAATCAATATCGAAAATATTAATACCGCAAAAAATCCAACGATGCCTCCAATTAGTACACACAAGCCTGTTTTTCAGCAAACGATTCATAAAATTGTAAACAATACATACATATTTATTAGAGCAAGTACGTAATTCAAATATTCGAGACTCGCCTGGTCGTATTTTCTTCCTCGCAGTATTCTTGGCAAGTTCAGAATCTAAAATATGCTGATTGCCGAGGCAATCGAAAATTATCGAAGCCCGTTTTTCATTTTCAATATCTTTACTAACTAACGTAACTAAAACAGCAAAGCGACAAATCTCAGACTCTGCTTCCTTGATTTCTTCCCAGCTTCGTAAGCACGAGTCGCACGACCCGCATTTACGTCTTAACAATTCAATTCTATTTCCAAATTTATTATTAACATCCAGAGTTGAGAAATCTGAGCAGCCTCCGCAAACCGAAAAATCCGCCTGGACCAAATTCAAGAAAATTTCCCCTGTCTGATTTGCTCCAAGGGCCAAGGAGTAAAGAAAATTACACGAACAGTTGTTATTTGCAAAACCGCCCCAGTATCGACCGTTACAACTCGAGTTATCAAACAAATGATCAGCAAATGAAGCATTCGCATTGTTAATCAAGAAATGTATAGAAATGTAAATTGCGAAACTAGATAACAATATCTTAATTTGCATAATTTTATTATTCATATTTACTTCTTGTTGTTTTTGAACTTAAATATTGAAGCTCCTTTTTCAACTGATAATAAAAAGATTGGATACATCGACAACGTACAAAATTATAATAATTAATTTGCAGCTGTTGAAATCTGCAGTTTTCTTAACCAGCGGAGATTACAAATTTTTCGATTTATTTATTTTTCGGCCGCTCAAACATGACAATGTAGCTAATTTTTGGATAGACAACATAATATAATATGCGATTGTCGCGTGGCCGATGATTTAACGACGAGAGCATATTACGGTGAAATCTTAATGGTATTATTATTATGGCTACGTATCGCATCAACGAGGTTATCGAGAGCAAGCGACGACGAGCCTCCTTCCGCCATCGATTTCCGCGCCGCCTCCGCGACTTCTTTCACTTTCTCCCGCATTTCTTTCCCCTTTTGCCCCTCCATTAATTCCACCACCGCATTCTTCAAGCTCTCCCGACTAATAAATCCCTTCGCCGATCCGTCGACCGTCTTAACCCTCGAACCGACACGAATCTCCTCCGCCACGAACTTTGCGTTGAGGAATTGCTCCGCCATCATCGGCCACGCGACAATCGGAACCCCGGCGCATATCCCCTCCATCACCGAGTTCCACCCGCAGTGACTCAGAAACCCCCCAACCGCCGGATGCTCCAGAATCTGCCTCTGGTCAACCCATTCATCCACCAACATTCCTCTCTCCGATACTAATAATTCCTCGAGATCAAATTCCGCGAATTCGCTCTTCTTCAACACCCATAGAAAGCTCGTTTCCGCCGCCGCCAATCCGGCGGCGATTTCACGTAACTGCGCCGGTGGTATTTTTGCTTGAGATCCAAATGCAACGTACAAAACCGAGTCACCCAGAGCCGATTTCCGGTCCAGCCACTGGATCCATTTCGGGTTGTGGCTCGGTGAGGGTTCGTCTTTTGGCGGCGGCGCCGCCGCGAGGCAGAGTGGTCCAATGCTCCAGGCTTTGGGTTCGCAGTGGCGGGTCCAGTAGTCGGCAAACGGTTGCTCCAGCTCGTAGAAGCTGTTTACCAACAAGCCGAAGCTGTTATTGGTGGATGTGATGGCTTCGATTATGAAATCCAGATGAGGGCCTGTCGGGTCGGGTTTGTCAAACGGGTCGTTGAACTCGTTCCGGGTCAACTGGATCCGAGGGAAGCCGACTAGGTTGAACGGCTCGTCGCCGGACTCGTGCAGAGAGAGGGAGCCGTTGGCGACGGCGTCGCGGGAGAGGGTGATGGCGTAGTGGCCCATGCCGTAGAAGCTCAGGCGAGGGACGCCGAGACGCGCCGCCGTCTGCAGCGTCCAGGGGAGGAACCCGTCTGAAATGATGCAGCTTATCGGATGGGATTCGTTTGAGCGGTTGATGTTCAGGAGAGCTTCCTCGAAGGAGGGCTGCATTAGCTTGGCGGCGTTGACGAAGGGGACGAAGAGTGACATGGACGGAAGCTTGTCGGTGCTTTCAGTTCCCGGCGGGATTCCGGGTATGTTCGCCGGGAATGGTAAGGTGGTGATGGTGACGTCATCGCCGGAGAGGAGTTGGGAGATGAAAGGATGAGTTGCAGGAGTGGTGAAGATGGTTATGGATACGCCGCGGCGGAGGAGGAGGAGGCGGGAGAGGTGGAGGAGTGGGATGATGTGGCCTTTTGACATGAAGGGGAATACAGCTATGTGAGTTTTCGACATGTTTTTTTTCTTAGGTTTGTATGGTTATTGGTGGGTCAATAAATACTAAATAGACTGGCTCGTTCGGTTACCTATATTGGATTAGATTGGATTACATGAGATTGGATTAACTCCCTACTGACTAATTAATTATTTAGTTAGTAGCATGTTCGGTTTCTTAGATTAGATTTTCTATTAAATTTGTTAAAATCGGTTATTATATATGAATTGTCTATAAAACCACAAAGTTTAAAATAATAAAATATGATTTTAAGGATAAAATTGTCTTTTTCCTTTTTAGTCACCCCCTATTAAATTAATCTCAGGGGGAGGGGTGCTACTAATTTAAAGAAATAGTAGCATTTAATAGCGGGCTTTGATTTTAGTAGCGGGTTTGAAAAAGTGTGAATCTTACCAACCGGACATGCTATTAGCCCCTACTATTTAGTCAATAGAACCTTATAGCGGTAACCGAACGAGCCCTGAATAAAGTAATGTGAATTATTAAATCAACTATAGTTGGAGAAGATGAAAATGTGTGGGCCTAATAATTGAGACTTGACTTAGTGCGTCACTAATAGAAATTCTGAAAATCGCACGTGTCAAAATGTGAATCTTAACAAAAATTATCCTATTTAGCAAGATCGAGATTTATTTGGCAAGATCGAGATTTTGTAAGAGCAAAACTCCAGCAGATGTGGTAAATACTAAATTTTACAACTTTTGTAAAAAATTAGAGCTGTAACAGTTGTGATACATTATACACCACATGGCATATTTTAAATTGAGTAAACTGTAAAAAATACCTATGTTTAATCTCTAAATAGCGAAAACCCCCCTATGATAAATAAACTAGCAAAAACCTCCCCTGTGAAATTATTTAAATAGCATACTCGGCTCATTACTCATTTGAGGGTTGACTTCATATAAAAAAACCCAAATACCCCCGGGATTTTGCAATTGATAAATTCTTATATTTTTAAAAAAAATTAATTATTTTATTTTTGTTATATTTTAATTATAAAGGTACAATGGGGTCTTTAATTTATTTCTATTTTTATTATCACATAATTTTTGTATATATTTTAAATTATCCCTACATCAAAAGAAAAATTAAATTTCATTATTATGTATTTAAAAAAATATATACTTAATTTGATAAACAAATTTTTAATAATTTTTCAATTTAATTATTTACTATTTTTTAACAATATTTTAATTTTTAAACAACCAAATTAAAAAGAAAATATATATACATATAATATATATATATACATATAAATACATTTTAAGGGTCAATTTCATCATTTCACGTCAAAAAACTAACTCCCAGTCGCGCAACCCGCGAGTGAGCCACACACAAGTCAACCAGGGGGGTTTTTGCTTTTGACTAAATTTTACAGGGGGGTTTTTGCTAATTTATTTATCACAGGGAGTTTTTGCTATTTATAGATTACACAGGGGTACATTTTGCAGTTTACTCATTTTAAATTCGGCTTGTCAAATATGAAACACCAAAAGAATGAAATGGCAAAATCACTTTTATCATAAAATCAAATTATAGTATAATTGCACGAGTTCCCAACTCTAATTCACTATTTTTTTCCATAAAGTATAACACTTAAAATATAATTATTTATTTGAAATTGAAATTGAAATTGAAATTATTATTATTTTAAATATTTTTTTAATTATATCATCAGATATATGAAATATAATAATAAAATGTAAAATTATGTATCAAAAAATATATTGGATTGAGTAGTGATGTTTTAAAGTGATATGTTAAAATATAAACAACCACTGCTAGAATGAGTCAGAAAAAGTGGTATGCTAAAACACTGCTGGAGTGAGTTAGAAAAAATGGTGTGCTAAAACACTGTTCACTGTGTATAGTTTTAATAAGAAGTCATAAATTTTAGCACAACTGCTAGAGTTGCTCTAATGCAAAATATTCTCCAATACAATACTCAAGAATCAATATATTACATTGCCATATCAATCGGAGATTTTTCTTAAAAAAAATTGTATTGAAGATGATTTTTCAATAAAAATCTTAAAATATCTTATGTGGTACTCTTAGTATTAGAAATTGAGTTCAGCATTGAGTATGATCTTAGCGATGGAGATTGAAATGATTTTCTTGAATCATTTTCGTTGTATTAAAAAAATTCGATTTGGAATT